TCATTTGTTGTTGCACATTTTCCTCCCTGCTCGCCATTAGCTTTTTTGGGGGGGGAAGTTCTTTTGTTGTTATACAGTCTCCCCAAAGTTATTCTTAAAAATAAAATTCGATACTTCAGTCTTTCTCCCATTTATCTTGATAATGCTTGTTAGTCCAATTGTGAAGATTTTTATTTTCTTTATGTTGAGATGTAATCCATACTGAAGTCTAGAGTCTTTGAACTTCGTCAGGAAATGCTTGAAATCTTCCTTTCAACAAGCAAGATTGTGTTGGGTCATCTGAATATTATAAATTGTTAATCTTCCTTCAATCTGGATGCCACATGGTTCTTCATATAGTCCAGCTTTTTAAATTGTTTTCATAGTTCTTCAAGGTATTATCTAAAATTTGTTCATGATTTGCATAGTCAAAAGTCTTGGCATAGTCAGTACAACACAAGTAAACATCTTTCTGATCTTTTCTGTTCCCAGCCAAGATCCACCTAACATTGCATTGTTATCCCTTGTTCCATGTCCTCTTCAGAATCCTGCTTAAATTTTTTGCAGGTCTCTGTCAAGGCACTGCTGCAACCACGGTTTAATAACCTTCAGTAATATTTTAATTCTTTATATGTGATATTAATGATGTTATTCTAGAATTTCTGCTTTCTTTGGATCACCTCCTTTATAAAGGGCACAGATATAGTTCTCTTCCAATTGATTGGCCAGTCTTCCAAATATTTTTGGCATAGGAAAATTTGGCATAAGCATTTATTTGTTGAAAACATCTCAGTTCATGTTCTACCAATTCTTGGAACCTTGTTTGTTCCCTATGCCTTCTGTGCAGCTTATTATTTCACCACCATTGATTCTTTATAATATGCTACCTCCTGAAATCATATCCCAATTCTTTTTGGTACAGTGACTCTGTGTTTTCCTTCTATCTTCTTTTTATTTCCCCCATTTATTTTTTTGATGCTTCCTGAGTCACCCCTTATTTTGTCCATACATTCAATTTTTATTTATTTCTTACTTCCTCTTGGCCTGATAATTCTTGGTACTTTGGAACATCTTCTTACTGCAGACCTAAACCATGGTACTGAACTTGAATTACCCCTACCATCCATCCCTGTCTGGCCGAGGTATTATCACCCCGTGATATGTCTGTCTTTGACATCCTTCTCTTTGAATCAGCCATCTTCATCTTGTGAGATGGAGAAATTGGTGTTACAGATACAATTAACTGGCTCAGGCCCATAGACTCAGTTACAGACAGAACAAAGACAGGGAGGGAACTAGATTTCCTAAATCTCTTTCAGGAATATGCATCTCTGCAGTACTTATCTTGTTGGAAGATCCAATGTCAAAAGTAGATTGAAAGTAATTAAATTTACATACTAAAACACCATCCCTATTTTATGTACTCCTCCTGGAGTATATATGGCTTGGTTACTATGAAATTCTATATCTTACTACAGTTCTTGATCTTCTGCAGCAAATGCTTCAGCCTCTTTTCCGTTTCAACAAGCAAGGATGTATGATCTGTGTAATGCAGGTTGTTGATAAGTTTTCCTCCAAAACTGATGCCAAATGCCTCCTCATAAAGTCCAGCCTTCCAAATGGTCTGTTTTGCATATAGATTGAAAAGGTATGGAGAAAAGACTAATCCCTGATACTCCTTTCCTGATTTTGAACCATTCAGTGTTTGCTTGCTCTGTTCTGAGGACTGCTTCCTGGTCCAACTATAAGTTTCACATAAGCACAGTAAAGTGATCTGAGATTCCCATTTTCCTTAAGGTTAGCCACAATTTGTTGTGATCCATCCAATGCTTTTGCATAGTCAATGAAACACCAATAGACATTCCTCTGGTACTCTGTGCTTTCAGCCATGATCCATCTGGCATTTGTGATAATATTCCTAGTGACACAGCCTCCTCTAAACCAAGCCTTTATTTCTGGTACTTCTCCGTCAATGTACTGTTCCAGTCATTTTTTAATGCTCATCAGCAAAATTTTTCTTGCCTATGATATTAGTGATATCATTTGATAATTTCTATACTCTGTCAGGTCATCTTTGTTTGGAATAGGAATAAATATAGATCTCTTCCGGGGATTGTCCTACAGATTTCTTGTCATAGCATGGTGAGCACATCCAGGGCAGTATCTGTTTATTGAGATATGTCAGTTGATATTCCATCAACTCCATCAGAATATAGATTGAAGCTCAATCCCAAGAAAATGAAGATTCTCACAACTGGGCCAGTAGGCATCAGAAAAGACTGAGACTGTTAATGTTTTCAGCTTGCTAGTTCTGTAATCAACACTCTTGGAACCAGCAGTCAGGAAATCAAAAGAAGAATTTTATTAGGAACATCTGCTACCAGGGACATCTCTAGAGTGCTAAAGAGCAATAGTGTCAGTCTAGAGATTAAGGTGCACCTGTTATGCATCAGAGAGCTGGACAATCACCAAAGAGGACAGAAGAATAATTGATGCCTTTGAGTTGTGATGCTAGAGAAGAGTCTTGAACATACCGTGGATTACCAAGAGAACTTACAGGTTTGTCCTCGAGAAGATAAAACCAAGTTATTCCTTGGAGGCAAGGATTTTGTAGTTCCATCTCACATACTTTGAGCATGTTGCCAAGAGGGACCAGTCCTTGGAGAAGGACATCATGCTTTGAAAGTAGAAGCACAGCAAAGGTGAAGATGACTACAGATGAGATTGATTGATATATTAACTAGGATAATGAAGGTAGGTGTGTCAGAGACAGAAAAATTGGCACAGAATAGAGCAGAGTTCAGGACAATTATGCATAGGGTCGCTATGAGTCATGGTCAACTTGATGGCACATAACAACTATGACTTTTGTTGTAGTTGTTAGTATAATTGGTAGCTTTTTTTATATGCCTGCAATTTTCTGGGCATTGATAAATGGATGCTGACTGACCATATTTTGTTTGCTTATTATGTTCATCAGTCTTCCACATTTATAAGTTGAGTAGCCATCGATCACTGGATATAAAATATCTTTTCTATATTACATTGATCAATACAAATAAATAGTTCTTTTCAACAGATCTCACACTGGTACTTCCACCATTTGGTACAATACCTGGCACAAGTTTCGTTGTTATTAAGTAACCATCACGTCTGCCCTGGTTCATAGTGGCCGTTACATAACAAATGAAACATTGCCTGTTCCTACATCATCTTCCATGATTAATGGACATCGTGTTTGGAAAGTCAGAGGGGTCAGCAAAAGTGAGGAAGGCTCAGCAAGATGGATTGACACCATGACTGTAGCAGTGGGTTCAAGAGTATCAGAAATTATGAGGAAGGATTGCACAGTGTAGGACAAGTTTCAGATGTGATGTTCATAGGTTTCCTATGAGTCATGCCCAGCTCAGTGGTACCTAACAACAATAACACCTTCATGGTTATTCAGTGTTTGAGCACATTGCCTCAGCTATTGGGTTGGTCTCTCACTGAGGGTGTCCCTCATTTTCACTGACTTCCTTCTCTAGAATAAGTAGACGATTCATAATTTGAGTTGGACCAGATTGGATTAAACTTGATGAAAGTAATTTTTATTGTCCCTCAGCTCCTAAATTTTGCAGGTTTGTTTTTTTTTAACATTCCTACCCCTAAAAATGTTCAGACTAAGGCATGACTGCTCAAAGACGTGTGAATTAAGGCCTTCTTGAAACTTTAGAAGAGGAATTGGCCCACCACTGAAAGTGAGCACCACCTTCTCTCTCATCTCAGAGGTCCACAAAGTCTCATTATATGTAAACTGGTGTTAAAGAGATACACTTGAATGTGCTGCTACTGGTTCAAACCCAGTAGATTAACTTGTTGAAGTAGGGCTAAAACCCAAAACAATGGGAAAATATAACATCCTCGTTTCTTGCAAAGGGGCATCATGCTTGGGAAGGTGGAGGGTCAGTGAAAGAGACACATATTTCCAGCTAGATGGACTGGCACAGTGCAGTAATAGGATCAAGTGTGAGAGAGATTATGAGGATGGCACATGACAGGACAGTGTTCAGATCCATTGTTCAGAGTCACTGTGAGTTGTACTTGACGGTACCTAACAACAACATCCCTATTTAATCACACATCACGGCATCAGTGAAAGTCACTAGGATGCTTTATTTTCTTAGACAGGAAGGTTTTGATTGAAGAATTATTTTGGCATGTGTCTGATATGATGGGTTATGTCTGATGGTTTGGAGTAAAGATAAGAAGTAAAACAGTGACTAGTACTGTTTTTCTGTTCAATTCCAGTTCTTTTTTAACGGATACTTCTGTAACCTCCAGTTTTCATTACTGTGGGGAATCTTTTATTCTTGTATTTTTGCTTTAAAATATAACATCTGAAAGTCATAACATCTACACTTTTCCTCAGTATATTTTGTTAGAACTAATTTAAAATCCCACACAATGCATTGTTTCCCAGTACGTTCATTTTCAGAGTCTATTGAGATAATTAATCAATAACACATCCTGAGAAAAGTTTGAATTTGCAAAGCATTTGTCATTTTTTCCCTATGTTGCCAATATGTGTTTAATAACCACTTATTTATTGCAACATTCGTGTCTACCAGGCTGTGGACAGGCATACATGTTGGCTCTATCAATCCACAGAGGTTAATGAATAATAGCACTTTAAGTAAATTGGAGTATTTCTTTAGTACCTAGCTCTTCTCTTCAGCCCAGCCTAAACATGTTTATTCTTGCTTAAATATACAGATGATTGTATAAACATATATGTGTGAGGCGTTTCCAACAGATTCTCAATAAAATCTTTGAAATATTCAAAACTGATACATGATAAGCATCTGTACTAGCTGATCAAGGAATTTCCCACATCTGTAGGTGGCAGAAATATCTTTTAGAAACATGTTTTTATAAAACATGGTTTCATATAATATGCACTTTTTTGGTTAAGCTAAGCTTCCTTTCTGTCTTCAAAGTGTGAAATACACATCTGATCCTTTTCTTTCAGCGTTGCCGGCATGGATGGGAAGAAATGCAGCGTCTGGATGTTTCTGCCTCTTGTATTTACCTTGTTTACTTCAGCTGGATTGTGGATAGTGTGAGTATTTCCTTATCTAATAGAGATTCAGGTGTAAGTAGATAAAAAGAAATGTAGATCATTTTGATGATATATACTCATGTGGTAGAGTCCATTCTGACTCACAGTTGTTATTGTTATGTGTCAGTATGAACCGGCTCATAGCTTACCCTCTAGTGGGTTTTCAGAGGTTGTAAATCACACTGGAGGAAATGGCCTATCTTTCTCCCTTGTAGTAATTGGTAGATTCAAACTGCCTGTCTTAAGGTTGGCAGTGCATCTTCTTACCCACTAGACCACCAGAGTCGTAGCCACCCTAAAGGACAGGGTAGAAATGTGCCAGAGAGTCTCAGGAGTGTAGTCTTTACAGAAGCAGCTGCTGCATCTTTCTTCCATGGACCTGCTGGTGAGTTTGAACCAATCATTGGCCTTTCTGTTAGCAGCCAAGCCCTTAAGGACTCCTTTGATGGTACAGAAACAAAACAGACAAAAACTAAAATACCCTCATTGCCTTCCAATTTATTCAACTCATACTAACCCTTCTTGAGTATCTAAGGCTACCCCTGCTTGCTGAAACGGAAGAAGACCTGAAGCACTTGCAACAGAAGGTCAAAATCTGTAGTCTTATTGTACGCCCGCACCTTGGGGCAGAGAGTTCTCTTTCCAAGGAGGCCTGTTAATTTTACATAGCCTCTCCTTCCGCACGGGAGGGCTCTGCCGCAAATATGCTCCGCCAGATCTTCAGTCAAGCCAAGAAGCACCCAAGCTTGATACCTCTCTTTGTATTCATTGGAGCTGGAGGTACTGGAGCAGCCTTGTATGTCATGCGTCTGGCTTTATTTAATCCAGTTGTCTGTTGGGACAGAAAGAATAACCCAGAACCATGGAACAAACTAGGCCCCAATGATCAATACAAGTTTTACTCAGTGAATGTGGATTATAGCAAACTGAAGAAAGAAGGCCCTGACTTCTAAATGACATTTTTTTTAAAAAGCCGCTTAGAATGAAGGTCTTCCAGAAGCCATCCGCACAATTTCTCACTTAACAAAGATATGTTTCTTCCCTAAATGCACGAAACCACATCAGTGTATCGTGTTGGAATTTACACTGAATAATAAAAAAAGTAAAACTTGAAAAAAAAACTGTAGTCTTCAATACGGATTGAAGCTCAACATCAAGAAGACAAAGATTCTCACCTCTGGCCCAATTAGCAGCACCACGATAGATAGAGACTGAGGTTGTTAACAATTACAGCTTGCTCGGCTCCACAATCAACACTCTTTAACACCAGCAGTCAGGAAATCAAAAGATTAATTGCACTGGGGAAATCTGCTGTCAGAGACCTCTCCAGGGTGCTGAAATATCAGTCTAGAGAGACTAAGGTACACCTTATCGTACCTTAGGTGTTCACAATTACCTGTTATGCTTCAGAGAGCTGGACAATGACTAAGGATGGCTGAAGAAGAATCAATGCCTTCAAATTGTGGTGCTGGGGTAGAGTCTTGGACACACCCTGGACTACCAAGAAAAGGAATAGGTCTGTTTTGGAGAGGGTGAAACCAAGTTTCTCCTTGGAGACTAGGATTTTGAAACTCTGTCTCACATACTTTGGGCATGTAGCCAGAAGAGACTGGACCTTGAGGAAAGACATCGTGCTCAGAAGGGTAGAGGAGATGGATTGATACAGTGACTGAGGCAATGGGAGTTGAGGTGTCAAAATTAATGAGACTGGCTCAGGATAGGGCAGGGTTCAGAGATGCTATATGTAGGATTGTTATGGGTCGCAGGCAACTCAACTGCACCTAACAACAAACAGCCTAACCTAACAACAAAATACATCTTTAAGGCACCATGGTAGCAGCAGTCAGAAAATCAAGACATGTTGTGTTGGATAAATTCTAGTATCAAGGACCTCTTTAAAGTGCTAAAGAGCAAGGATATTAGTTTAAAGACTAAGGTTCACCTATCCCATAGTTTGTTGTTTCATATGCATGTGAAAGTTGCACAATGAATAAGGTATTACTGAAGAAGGATCAATGCCTTTGAATTATGGTGTTAACAAAGAGTATTATTTGTATGTACCAAGTTGTTATTGTTAGGTGCAGCTGAGTGTGACTCACAGCAACCCTATGAACAACAGTTCTGAACCCTATTCTATCCCGTGCCACTCTCATCATCTCTGACACACTTGAGCCTATTGCTTCAGTTGCTGTGTTAATCCATCTCACTGAGGGTCTTCCTCTCTCATTGTCTTCCTTTCCAAGCATGATGTCCCTTTCTAAGGAATAGCCACTCCTAGCACCACATCCTCCACACGTTCAGCAATTGAATATTCCATGAACCTCCTGAAAAGAAACAAATGTGGCTTGGAGGAAGTGCTGCCAGGGTGCTGAAGGCAAACCTCTGTTACGTTGGCTATGTTGTCAGGAGGGACCAGACCTTGGAAAAAGACATCTTGCTGGGAAAAGTAGAGAGTAAATAAGAGAAGATGACAGTTAAGAATGCAACAGTGGGGTTAAACATAGTGGAGATTGTGAGAATGTTACGGCATAAGGCAAGGTTCAGATCTATTGTTTATACGGTTGCTCCGAATTACAGTCACTTGGACAGTACATAACACCAGCATGAACAATATCTTTAAAAGAGGGACCATCCACCTTTCAAGAAGATGGTTTCAAACTACCAGCCTTTTGGTTAGCAGCCCACATGTAACACACTGTTGTTATGCACAGTCAAGTTGGAAACAACTCATAGCTGACCCTCTAGTGGGTTTTTAGAGACAGTAAATTGCATGAGAGGAGAGGGCCCTGTCTTTCTCCCTTGGAGTAGGTGGTGGATTTGAACTATGTGCCTTTAATTTAGCAGCCAACTCCTTACCACTAAGCCAGAAGAGCTCTGAGCTTCCTATGTGGCACGTTGTTGTTACAGTGTACCTTCAAGCGGAAGTAGCCCATAGCTGACTTCCATTAGGTTTTCAGAGGCAGTAAATTGCACAAAAGAGAGGGCCCATCTTTCGGCCATGGAGCAGGTGGTGGATTTGAACCACATACCTTTGCTTTGGCAACAGAATTGCTTACCACAAAGCCACCAGCACTGCCATGTAACACAATAGGACATCTCCATACATGTGTCTGTGTTGTTGTTCTTAGACATATTAACTCAATTTTGACTCATAGTGGCCCAGATGAAAACATAGCTGCCTCAGACCTCATACAATTTTTCTAGATCTTTCTCATGAGGTGCTGCTGCATGTTCAAAATGCCAATTTTTTCTGGTTGGGAGCCAAGCACTTAACCCGCCCAGGACTCCTTTATGTAATTATAGCAACTAATTAATCCTTGTTAAAATCCCCATTTCTCTGCTCTTTTTCTAATACTCAGGATAAATAGCAAGAGTAAGCAGTGGTGTTAGGAGCTGCCAAGTCGCTTCCGACTCACAGTGATTCTGTTTACAACAGATTGAAACTTCGTCCATCCTGTGGAGTCCTCACGATCTCGGCTGTGTTTATACCCACTGGTGAAGTCACTGGGTCATTCCATCTTCTTGAGGATCTTTCTTTCCTTCTCTGACCTTATGCCTTTCCAAGCATGATATCCCTTTTCAGGAACCAGCTCCTCTCGATATAACATTCCCAAAGTTTGTGAGATGAAGTTTCTCTACCCTTGCCTTTGAGGAGCACCCTGGCCTGTAATAAACTATGCAAAATAGATAGTGAAGAATGATGATTTTATTTTGTGTTATGTGTTCTTGTGGTAATGAACATTCTGTAAACTAGTTGTATGTTTTTGTTGTGTGCCGTGGAGTCAGAACTGACCCATAGCTGACTCTCCAGTGGGTTTTCAGAGGCAGTTAATCTCATGGGAGTAGATTGTCCCTCCTTCTTCGTAGAGCTACTGGTGGATTCGAACCACGTGCCTTCGGGATTGCAGTGCACCTTCTTACCACTAGGCTATCAGAGCTCTCTAACTTGTTGTATACCTTCAAGTTGGACCTAACCCATAGCTGACACTCCAGCAGGTTTTCAGAAGCAGTTAATTGCTCGCCTTTCTCCTGTAGAGCAGCTGTTTGGTCCTGAACTGTGTGTTTTTGGGATTGGAGCTCAGCTTCTTACCACTAGACCACCAATGCTCCCTGTCTAGCTGTATAAACTCACTATTTGTCAGTATTTGTAATTTGATAATAACATATTAAGGATACCATGCATAATTCAGTTCATGGTCCAGATATTTGTGAATGAGTCCGGTATGTTTATAAAATGTTATATAACTGCACTGAAAGTCTTTTCTTAATATAGTCTCACATATGATGATTTAAATAATATTCACTTCATTGAGATTGTTTTAGTTCATTAAGATAGGGGACACATATTTCAGAAGAATGAGAACCTTTGAATTCTAATTTTTGTTTGCCAAAGGGCTAGGATCTTACTTGTTTTCCAGCTTCCACGTTTAAGCCATAATGATTACTATTGATTTGGGAGGGTTTTTTAAAACTTAAAGAATGTTCTCAGTAATGACATTTAAGGTCCAAAGACCTGATGATACATAAGTAAAGACGTAGTAAGAGAGCATTTTTATAGACTAAATATTTTTCTGACAGTGACTTTGATTTACAGTGGCGGAAATCTAGTAAAACTAAGAACCAAATTATTCTTTTAAAAATATTTTGTGTCTAAATTTTTTTTGTTTTTTTCTTGATAGATACTTTATAGCTGTGGAAGATGACAAAATTTTCCCGTTGAATTCAGAGGAAAGGTAAATCCACTGCTCATCAGTAACCCTGGCAAACAGCTTTGCCAGTAGTGAATAAAACTGCACGAGTAACCCTCCTTTAACGTGCGCTTCTGTGCTTTCTGTTGTGCAGGAAACCTGGTGTAAAGCATGCACCATATATAAGGTAACCTGATCACTCTCTTCTGATTGCCGGATTTCATTAAAATTTGACAGGGCTCTAGATGCTAATAGAGAAATAATAAAATGTTTCCTATTTTTCTAGTATCGCAGGTGACGAGCCTCCTGCAAGCTGTGTGTTCAGTCAGGTGATGAACATGGCAGCTTTTTTAGGTAAGAACAACAGAAAGCATCTAAATGAACTTGGAGGAGTTTCTCTTTTTTCTTTTAAATTTGCCCCAACTCATATCAGAACCGTGGTGGGCTTCTTTGGCAATTTACTATCATTGGTGTACTAAAGCTAGCTTTTTATTTTGAGAGTCTTTTTCTTTTTCTCAGAAGTTCTTTTGCATTCCTTCTGTTCTTGTGACGTTTTCTCTCCTTTACCATCTTGACCATTTCATCTTTTTTTTATGATGTGATTTTTTTTATTATTAAATTTTATTAGTTTTAATGAACATTTACAGGGATTTTGGGTTTTCATTCCTTCATTGCTGCACCATTCTCTCTACC